CAGTGTGAATCACTCAATTCATCGAGTATAAAATAATTGAAATGAATTGAGAAATTCTCAAACGCAAGTAATTTCACGACTCACCAGATAAAAAATGTCAGAGTGCCGTGGAAGTGACTGCAATGATTTTCTTGCGAACGTACCACACCTTCTATTCACACGTTTCTCAGCTATAGAGCGTTCTCGGTGAGCGTCGGCGTGGCACACGTAGAAATTCTCACAGCGTAAAACGCGCAGCAGCGATCCCGGTTGCGACGTTTCATTGGCGGCTTCGCTGTACATTTTTGCTTCATATAAAGAATACCATAAACATCAAAACGGAGTATCTTACTTAATATCCATTCTGGTAGGTTCGCTGTCTATTTCGGATGGCTAAGTTTCCTTAAAACTCTTGAAGGCAGCTCCGAAAACAACGGCGGCGAGACAACACCAGTGTAGCGAACGACAATTTATTATGCGCAGTATCGTTGCGTAGTAGTTTCATCGACGTCATCCTCGCATTCGGCTCTGGCATCATCAATACTATGGTCATGCCCATCATCCCTTGAGCAGGCAACAAATCGTGATATCGCCTTCCGAAACATGTGTTATTATTTAACTATTCGATGTCATGTGAGCGATTTGCTAATTTGGTGGTGATATTTCCAATAGAGGATTTTCCGTACAATTGCGAGATCTCGCGAGATGCATGAAAGACGCGCGTCGAACGTCTGCCGCAAAAATCGAACGATTTGATTTTGAACTCGAATTTCCTTATTTCGTAGCTCACACCGACCGGCCGATCTTCGACAGAGGAATATTGCTTCCGAATATCCTTACTTAATCGAAATTGTCTACCATCAAATGTGGACAGCACATTATTAAGCATGGAAATGTCCCCAAAATACTTTCGCGTTTGTCGAATCCCACGCGATGTTTGACGTCACTACGACGCTATGACCTTTGTTTGTCCTGTTTTTACGTTCGATTTCACGCATAACGCGTGATTCTCTGCCTTGTTTTTGAAAACGGTGTCTAATTGTTTCAATATTTTATATGGACATTAGATGGACCTCTGTTATTTACGATAACTTAAATTCTCTAATTTTAGTAAATATTTTTGTTATTTTTGGCAGAAAATGATATTTCCCACTTGTAGAAAACTGCTTGCCCATTTAATTCAATGTTGTATATGTAGGCAGGCACCTTGGGTAGGGTTCTGTAAGATTTGTAAATTTCATCATGATGACGATACTTTTAATTTTCAAGTTTTCGTGAACACTTCTGTCATTTTTGGTTAAAAGCGTTTTTAGTTTTCTTACTGAAAATAATTGAAAAACCAGATTACTGATTTGACATTTCTTTCTGAGCAGTATTAACCACAGGCTGCTTGTTTTCATGAGTATTATAAGACAACGTGTGATGATTACATTTATTAGCTGAATGTACACTGAATAGGCTCATCGTATTGCAGGTTACGCTCCTACTACAATACCGCCTCCTATGTGTGGATATGGATGTCTTAATGGGGGATACTGTTCTCACTCTTACGACAATTACTATACATGTAGCTGCCCAATAGATTATACAGGAATGTTTTGTGAAACAGGTGAGATATCATTGTGTATATTATCGATTATCGAGGCTACAGGATAAACTTTGTACCATATTGTCTCATACAATGCATATTATAATATGAGATTATTACGAGGATACCTCAAAGTATGCACAAAGACAGTACAGCGGGAGTATCGATCGACGCGCAACGGAGGTCGATGCGACTGCGTACTGTCTGAGTACCTACCTTTAGGTATCCTCTTAATAACCTTATTATTATACATCTTTTCCTTCCGAGGATACATTATGGGAATGCCGAAATCCAAAACGTTTAGAACAGAATCAGCGAACTTCTCTGTGTGGGGTCCGGTCAAACCCTAGTGGCAGCCATGTTTGTTTTTGTTATTAGAGAATGCTTACGCGCGTAATCATTCCATATTCTATATTCGCATTTCCTTATATGGCAGGATGAAAATAAACCATAAAATACCGCAAAATTACGGCAGGCTGTAACTTATGGCGTTACGGTGACAGATGTATAATGAACCATATCACCCATATTGTAACATACTATTACTATCATCATTGTATCTTTCTTAACCTGTATAGAAATCAAACATTGTGAAGATGTCGATGTCATGTGTCTCAATGGCGGAACATGTATGTATGATTCTTGCTATTGCCCTGCTGGTTACACTGGATCTCTATGTGAAACAGGTATAGTAATCACTCTATTATCATTTAACTCAAATTATGTTTATTTTCAATTATATGATTATTATTTTAAAACAAAACATTGTACCATATTCATAAAATTTTGTTTTCTATAACAGAGCTCTTTGATTGCAATATGTTCGGCTGTTTTAGTGGGAACTGTACGACATATGGTTATTGCATCTGTTGGCCTGGATACACTGGGCATTTATGTGAAACAGGTAATATATATGTCAGTTTATATCCATACAGCGTATCACACGTTTTCGGACTACCTTGATTTTTTTTCTTGGTGAGATATTGCCCGCGGTTTTCTCACGCAGCATCCAACATCATTTGTTAAACACGCTTATTATATTTGAAGTATTATAGCTTGTAAACTAAACATTTGTTGATTATTTAAAGTTATAATGTATCGTCATTTTTATTCTTATTTCTTCACAGTCTTACCAACGTGCGATAGTTGTTCACCATTTGCACATTGCGACTACGCACCATGTGAATGTATATGTACTGGTGAGTAACCATAACAACAGACTGAATTCCATTAACGTTATTGATAGTATGGCCCTAAATTCGGCATATATCCATCTATTATCATTAGAGTTTTTTGTTTCATTTTAATTTTAATGTGCAATACTTCTTCTGATGAGATGACATGTCTCGTGTGAAATGATGAATGCAAATGCAAATTAAAGTGTTTCTCCAAAGTCATATTTAGTTCAACAACTTTATAAACAACTTTTCAAAAGAGTGTTGTATGCTTTCCAATTTAATTGCAATAGTATCCCCATTGCGACTGAAAATAAATAAAAGAGAATTATACGCTCTTTTAGTTAATCGCTTTCATAATAGTTTTGGTAATAGTTCGATAATTTTGAACATTTCATAATTTCTAGTAGTATATCGTTATAGACAATTTTAAAAACTCTTATATCACCAACGTCCATATTCTCCATTTTGTAACACGAAAGCGTCCCTTTTCTAAAATGGGTTTGTCATTTTCCGACCACAGATTATAATTGTACAAATCAGTACCAATGTATGAATAACCAATGTATACCATGGTCAGAATATTGTGATGGTAATAATGATTGCCTTGACGGAAGTGACGAATGGTACTGCTATCCTGGTATGTAGTGAATTACGATTATTACAATTATTACTTGTCACCCAAGTTTTTGACAACTTTACTATAAACACCCAGCCAGAATACACCAAGCGCAAGAATTTCACCTGACTAGGTTTATGTGTTTGAACACTTGGTTGATATGACTATTTTCCTTGCATCTTCTATAAAAACAAACAAACAAGACAAACAAACAAACAATGCTCGCTATTGGAGAAAACCAAGGCGACAAACCAAGGCAATTTAAATTATATCTATGATCTTAAACCCATTTATTGGGAATGCGTATACTAGCTTAAATGTCCTAGGCATCTTGGTAACATATCTAAAATTGCATAGCACCCCCTTGCTTATGTGTTTAGCTTGTGACGCCATTTCCGCAGGGATTTCATGTGACAATTCCAGTGACCTGGCAGAAGTCATTCATATGAATCAGTCTTTAGTGTCAACCTAATACGGATACCTTGTTTTCAAATGATCTTACGCATGCGTAAGTATTAGGCTGATTTCACAAACTGCTTCCGATATTACGTCACTTAGAGTACAGCTAGAAGCTACTGACTGTTTATTCTTCATTCTGTGTAAAAGTGTAAAGTTTTTATAACACACCACGGCACATCATGTGTTACAATTTATAGTTTTTGATTTCCCTCATTTCCAATGTTCGTTTGTCTGATATTTATCCGATCTAGTTTAACTAATAAAAGTAACTGCGTGATCGATGCAATAGAAACTATCTTTTCTGACCTTGGAAATTCCATCTTCCTACTCTATATTATAATAGATTGTTATATAATACAGAATATGTGTAATTATATTGTAGCATTGGGCTGTTTGAGGCATGATTATGATTTTGGTTCATGTCATGGTTACGTATATACATTTATTTTCTGTTTTTTTTTACAGTTTCAACCCCGTCTCCGTACTGCCCTGCATTCCATTCCCCTTGTAGTAACTATATCGAATGCGTACCAAATGAAGCAATGTGTAATGGTACTGCCGAATGCTCAGATAAAAGTGATGAATTCAACTGTGGTAAGGTTGCATCATTTATTTTAGTGCTATTGGATTACACTAATGTTTAAAATATGTAGGTATGATTTATTTACATTTAGTGCATATTTTTACTCTGTGTCACAATCGTGTCATTCCTGATTGGATTTTTTTTAAATTTTACACTTTACAGTTTTCAACACAACGACAGACTGCACCGCAAAACAAACCCTCTTTCAATTGATATGGGTTGCAATTTTTTTTTTACGTGAAAGTATTATTTGGGAAGGTTATTATTGATAACAGTTCATGCATCGGAACACAGGTTTTCACATAGATTTGAAGGTTGATTTGTAAGTGATTTTACGTGACAGTATCATTTGGGTAGGTGATTATTGATAACTTGGTGCATGGCATTCTACTCTTTGGAGTGGCTTTACAGTTCTGAACCACACTGTTGTACGTATCTTCCTGTCAAACGTTTGGCACACAGAAACCAGTATGCTACTCAGCACTCGACACCACCCAAAAGCATGATGTTAAATATCCCAGTTTATCCAGCACTATGTGCACACAAATCACGCAAACAAAACTGCACGTGCAAGACTAGCCATCGGCCAAAATTACGCGCTGAAAACAGTTAAAGTATACATACTAAAACCCTAACTACGTGAATAGTACACTTAGGGTACCACAATAGCAGCCAGCGTACACACCGCAGTCAGTAATCAAAATTATAAACAACTCAGCAAATGTGTCTCGTCGCTGTAAGCAGAGGCGTTTCCCGTTAAGCCACCTCTCACTATCACTACATGAACAGTACACTACTATACCAGTCACTAGAAAAGTACATAATAATAGTATAAATTCAATGCGATTGCGTGAATGGTATGATTGTCAATGATTATTTTTACCATACTTTATTAACTATCTTTCATTGCAGGATGTGGAGGAAGTAATCACATTCCAAACGGGAAAACATTTGTAATGACGTCACCGGGCTACCCCGATAACTATGGGAACAACGATTTGTGCTATTGGTATATCTCTGCTGATGCTGGAGCAACTATTTCAATTCATTTTGACTATTTTGATACTGAATCAAATTTCGACTTCATAAGCATTGGTTATGGTTTAGACCCGTATGACATATCTACACGTGTCATATACCAATCAGGCTCCGTGGCGCCAGACGATTGGTTATCACCTACAAGCAACATATGGATAAGCTGGGATTCAGACGGTTCATTCTATCAAAAGGGTTGGGTGTTAAGTGTTACTGCACGAGAAGGTGAGTGCATTTGTGAGGAAATATGAATGTTAAGTCTCTTTGCTCGTAAAAGTGATTGTATTTGCTATGAGATGGTTGGGTTTTAAGTCCCATGCATGAGAAGGTGAGCGCGTTTGCAATGAAATAGATAAGTGTTAAGTCTCATTGCACAAAAAGGTGAATGCATTCGCAAGGAAAAAGATAACTTTTAACGTATTTGTGATGAAATGAGTGGGAATTAAATCCATTTGCACAATAATTCGTTGGCATTTTGTTTAACCATCTTAGCAATGATCTCATATCACAGTTGAATTAGATAACACACATAAATCTATGGGAAACATTAACACATACCACTCGCTTCAGCAATATTGTATTTGTTTCAAAGATCGTTTATTGGTTGTAATTTTGAATTTGTACAATAGAAATATCACATGGTCATTCAGACTTGTGAACATGAGTGAATGTATTTTGGTGTTAATTAAATACACAGTAATGTAAGATATTTACGTCTTCTAGGCCGGGAAAATTGTTAAGAATGATGATTTCTAATTGGTCTTAGGTTGTACAGTATTATGTAATAGAACTGTTTTATTTGTTTCTAGCTTGCACCGAATCCATCAATTTAGGCATTAATGAGGTTGTTTCTATCACGTCGCCAAACTACCCACTTCCTTATGATGACCTTATAGACTGTGTATGGATAGTTCAAGCCGATCCAACCAGGGCAATTGATGTTCATTTTATTGCTTTCAACACAAATTATGACGAAGACTACTTCAGTGGGGGTTTCGGCGATGACCCAGATGATTTATCAACACAAGCTTTTATTTACTCTGGTGACGTTTCACCCCCAGACTGGAACTCTGAATCCACCCTAATATGGCTTCGATTTACTACAGATGGATCGAATACAAACACAGGTTTTCACATAGATTTGAAGGATGACTTCTGTAAGTGATTTGCATGAATTTGAATATGCATATAATATCCACACACATACACAACCAATGGGTTTAGAGGATGCTCTTATCTGCAAATTTGAATTGTGCGCCATTAGCACTTGTTTACTTGTTTGTTTGTCCGTGCGAGCAGTTACTAGTTGGTAAAAACCAGCCGTTCAATCCAAGGATAACATAACAGCGTTTTGCGCTGCTTCTGTTATTGGATAAGTATATATGTGTGCCTGTTAATAAAATAACTTATGGGCATTGTTGTCGCCACAGACTGTGAGCCAGTGGTGATCAGTGATCAACAATTATTATCACACATTCGCATGCCAGTAGGCAAAAAACGTGAGCATGTGACGTCACAGTGCGATGGCCTATACATTACTAAATATGATAATTTCTTTAATGTAAATATGAACTATGTGTACAGCTTGTATATTACCTTGATTGTCTTACTTTTCTGACGGTGGTATTAATATACGGATATGGAAACTTTAGGTTCTCACACCGTGCTCACATGCTGTCTATCTTGTGTATACGTTGTTTCCTATCACACACTGCTTTAATGCTATACACACTACATAGCAACTAATGAATTCTGCTGTTATACCCATATTTAGATTGTGAAAATATTGGCATTCCACAGTGTGTGAATCATCTCCCTTACGGGGGATCCACTTTCTACAGTCATCTTGGTCTATCACGTGAACAAGCCATGAAACAAATGGATAATCTGACTGACATCGACGGCTGTCATGCACATATTGAGTTATTCATGTGTTCATTGCTATCCCCTGAGTGTGGAATTAATGGTACATACAGACAACCATGCAAGACATTCTGTCAAGATGTAGAATATGCATGTGCCGAAGTGTATGTTCTCAATGGCTATGACTGGCCAATAAACTGTGAAGATATGCCAACTAAAAATGAAAGATACGACTGCGTCAGTAAGTATTATACATAGTGGTACAACCCGGAACAGTAATATAATTATAACCTTTATTTTAATACAGGAAATGAGAAACACACGTGGTACAAACAGGCGAATTGATTGATAGATGATGACGATAGTGCTTGATTTTTATTTTCAGGAGTCACACCCTGTATGAGCAATCCCTGTGTACACGGAGGAACATGTTTGCCGGTTGATGAAGATAGGTCAACGTGTGCTTGTTCCCATGGTTACACGGGTGAATTCTGTGAATTAGGTTTGTACTAAATATCGTAAATATTTGTTTGTAACATATTTTCCTATAACTTTTAAACAGTGCTAGATTGCGGTGTATGAAATTGTTCAAACAATAATAAATACTGTCAAATTCTTTTGCAGAAATCGATGAATGTTCCAGTAATCCCTGTGAAAACGGTGGCATCTGCATTGATATGTTGGCTGATTACACGTGTGTGTGTCATCATGGTTGGGGTGGAACGCGATGTGGTATGTTATTCATTTTCACATTTGGCGATATCCCCACACTATAAATTAAGAAATATACCTTATATATATATGTGTGTGTGTGTGTTAATGCAACCTGATTTATACTTGTCTGATTTGGACTCGTCTGTATATGTAAATTAGGTACAATAACGTTTATTTCCAGCTTTTTGATGCTTTTTTGATGTCAACATAATACTTTAAGATGATACACAATTTTCTTCACTGTTCTATTTTGCTATGAACTTTAATAAATTGTGACACAAAACATACTTACATAATGTTTTACAGATTGTAGGGATATCACCGTTGAAACATGTAGGGACATGCCCCTCAGTATGGCGAGACTATCGAAGTACACGAGTGGTAGTGATCGTTCTGGTAATATCCAAGCACTTGTTAATTTTTTGGATAACATGCGCTACAACAGAGCTGGAACGCCCTGTCACGAACACATGGATTTATTTATGTGCGCATTGTTTGCACCAGAGTGCAGCGAGGAAGGCCTGTATCGACCACCGTGCATGCACTTCTGTGACCAGGTTAAAACGTCATGCGAAACTAAGTTCAATACTGGTGGAATTGCTTGGCCAATTGACTGTGACTTATTGCCACACACAAATGATAGTTCTGTGTGTATTGGTATACCAACAGGTGAGACTTAGATATTAATCAGTAAACTCTTTCAATGGCTGGAATTGTTTGATATTAATATAGTAGTAACTATCTTCAATAACCGTACGATAACCCATTCACATTAATTGGTTTTATAGTCAATGACTTGTGTGGGTCAGCACCGGCAGAATCGAATAGAATTGTAGGAGGATCAGCAGCATCGTTAGGTACACATCCATGGCAAGTCTCCATACATGAGCACTCTGCCCATAATTGTGGCGCTGTTCTCATTGATTCTAACTGGATAGTTACAGCAGCACATTGTGTGTAAGTTTTTTTTTGCTATTCATTATCTCAAGTTTAAACTGACTCTCGATAATCGTCAATGAGACAGGTATTGGAAACCTTAATTAATTCCAAGTTTATTTGTTTCAGTTATTCATCAAGTGTAAGCAACTTAGAGCTACGTATGGGTTTTACGTCATTATCTGCTGGTTCCGTGCATGAGTACCGAACGCCAGTGAGCGCCATGTACATCCACCCAAGCTACTCTACAACTTTCAACCAGTATGACTTTGCCATGTTGTACGTTGAAACGCCGATAATATTTACCGATTACATCCGACCTATATGCCTTCCCCCAGATGGCAATGATGCTTTTTTTGCTGATGGCGATGTGTGTGTTATAACTGGATGGGGACAATTGTCTGAAACATGTAAGTACACCGTATGTTTGTATGTTTTTATAAGGGGTATATTGTAAATTGTTTAACGATTAAATAATTTAACGATTGGTGTCTGTAAACTAAATGAAAAATAATTTGAGAGTTGTCATATATATTGTGTTAATGTCATATATATCTTGCTACTTTGAACAATATGCACATGTATCGAAAGTTAATCGCACATATCTCTATACAGCTTATGGAACACCCGATGTCCTACAAGAAGCTGTAGTACCTATTGTGAACCAAGGTACATGCAATGATAGATATGGTGGCGATATCTCGTCATCGATGATATGTGCAGCTTATCTGGATACCGGTGGTATTGATACTTGTTACGTAAGTGGTTACAATTTTACTGTTTTCGGAATGTCTCGGTTATTAACACTTTTGAACAAATACTCATTGGCAAAACATAAATATCATATGTACGTTAATTTACCTGACGTATATGAAGTTAATGCGCTGTGTGTTTTTTTTTCTTCAGGGAGACAGTGGAGGCCCATTGGTGAGCCAGAAAACTGACGGGCGCTGGTATCTCGCTGGATTGACCAGTTGGGGACGCGGTGGCTGTGCTAGCTCATATTACCCTGGCGTATATTCCCGTGTTACGGAGGGAATTGCATGGATGAACGAGATAATGGCTTCAGGTAAGAGTTTATTTTCAGAAAATTACAAATTACAACAATTATACAATAATATATATGTAACAAATAATTGTTGTGGTATGGCTGACCAGTAGAATTGCATCGACATTATCCAGGGTATGCTTTTTCGACCTCGACAATTCAATTCGTACTTTCCCAGTTTATTTATTGTATCGTTTCAAAGTAATTCTCACTAAGTCACTACCATTTTAAAACAAATCGTGTATTGCATGTACCCGTGTTTGCGATGAAAGAACAGTAGTTCACAAGACGTCTGTGTTTAAAAAGATTGGATACTCGTCTTATTACCTGTTTTCAAGACGCATTAATATTTGTGTGTTTTTCCTCCACAGAGCCTTGAAAAAAAAAAGAATTTAAGGAAACGCTGACCACGACTGTTTTATTGAGTTGAGCTTAATATTCAATACATTCAGAGTATTTTAAGATACTAGTTTACGTTGTTAGTTAGTACAGTTAGTACATCAAACAACAACATAAACTGATCCCAAAATCATGGAATATACTGCCAGGTTTTGATGGGCCAAATAAACTCAGGTTATTTATACTAACAACGCTTATATGATGTATCATGGTAACTGCAGAATAATTTGTATTATAAATGTATATACACGGATATCGCATGAGGTAACCGTAGTATAATTTATATTACAAGGTAGCTGTGGATATACATGTATCACACCGTAGTTGTAGTTATACCACTTTGGTCATTGGATGTCCGTTGGTTTATCAAATGGAAACAAGTAAAGTGTGCGTTATTGGATATACCGCCACAGTTTTGGTCAGAGTCTGCGCAATTTGAAATACTCGCACCAAAATATGCGTTATATCCAATAACCCACTCTTTCGAGTGAGTGTGTCTCAATTATACTATTAAACAAACGATAAAATTGAATGATTCAGTAATGGGCTTAATTTTCAGTGCTGAAAGTGTAATAATTTACATAGATACATAACAAATAGTGTACGCTTTGTCATTTGCTCATGAATAATTTATAGAATACCACTTGACATTGAAATGGACCTTCTAAATGAAAAAGTGGGTTAACAGGAATAAACACAAAGTTTTTGCCATAGTCTTGCTGTAAATTGTACTCGGGCTTGCGCCCTCGTAGAGTTTACTCAAAACAAAATAGGTGGTTTGTACATGTAAATTCACACTTTCTGTGGTGTTTCTAATAAATATATCACGCATTATAGACAACATACATATCACAAGTTAGCTGTGCATATACCACATACATAGATAAGTGGCAAAGCAGCACAATTGCAAAATTTTGATTTTTGCAGAAATTGATGGAGAAATTATAATTGACATTTTTACTATTCAATATATACATTATTCAGATTTGTTTTTTAGAATCTGAAATTTGAAGTTTTAGTTGCTGTTGAGTCTTGTATTATTAATTATGATCTGATCGGTAATCGAAAAGCAATATTCCGTTTCTTGGATTTTAAAAGCCATTAGATTAGATTTATAATTATAATGTGTCTGTAATTGCTGTGTTTCATAATAATTGTCCAAGTTAAGCATTATTTGTTTGTTTGAATTGTATGAACTCGTATAGAGGCAAGAATGTACCATTGTTTTTGTTACATATTTGATTGAAAACTTCACTTGTACGGTCGCCATTCATTCTACTGCAATCTTTCTATAATTCGTACATTATGATGATTAATAAAAACATACACATATTATATTACGTACATAAAGTTTGTAATGTAGTGTATACATCAACGCCCACTGCACTAAAACACTTTGTTTATTATTATTTACGAAACGTCAATACAGCACACGACATTGCCAAATCATTTGAGCAAAGGTGTATGGAATTGTATAGACGCGTTCCTGAACATATTATTGGATCTCCATGGACATATTTCAGAAGCAATGCATGAACACATCCGTAAAGATATATACATCTAGATGACGACATTCCCGAATAGATGAATAGATGAACCTGACGAGGTATACACGAGGTATGTGAATTAGGTAATTTGAATAACTAGGCTTGGATACCAAAATATTTTGTATATATTGCAGGTATAGTGACTTCATTGACATGTTTAATTTTCCTTCTCCTTATTCCATCTTCTAACATTGTTTTCTTACTCTGATTCAACGATTCCTATTCCTTCTAACTACACTCATCAAATTAGACTAAATATGGACAGTACTCTGAGAAGTAAATAGTTACTATAGCTACATTGTATTGAAATGAAATGCAGTGGTTTCGTTTAGGGGCCTCTTTTCTTTTACCAGACACACGATGTAGTAACAAGCCAGGCTAACGAACATTGCCTTCTTTGCGGTGAATTTGAATGGATTACAGAATGAACTATATAAAAAAAGGCATTCCTAAACTCCTTCCATGATGTCAAAATCAGCATAGTAGTGGCGTTTTGTATTTTTGCCAAACTATTCAAACCCAGAACGATATAGGTCTATAAGGTATAGGTAGGTACACTGTCATTACTGCATAGTCTGAGCAGTGAAATTTGTTATTCCAAAGAACTTATTGTAATACATAACATACTCACACTAGTGTTATATCGGGGATTGTCACGTGGTGTTTCCCAAATTACCTTAGTTAGATCATGCGTTTATTATATAGTGGAACGTTCAATGTAAAGTCATCTACCGTATAACAACAACGTGAAAGTTGTTCGGCCACAACATGAATGAATCAGGTTTACATTTAATACAATGCAACATGAATGAATTAGACACACATTAATGCAGTGCATCATAGATGAATCAGGTATACATTAATACTATGCAACATGAATGAATTAGACACACATTATATAGTACAACATGAATGAATCAGGTTTACATTTAATACAATGCAACACGAATGAATTAGACACACATTATATAGTACAACATGAATGAATCAGGTATACATTTAATACAATGCAACATGAATGAATCAGACACACATTATATAGTACAACATGAATGAACCAGGTTTACATTAATACAATGCAACATGAATGAATTAGACACACATTATATAGTACAACATGAATGAATCAGGTTTACATTTAATACAATGCAACATGAATGAATTAGACACACATTATATAGTACAACATGGATGAATCAGGTTTACATTTAATACAATGCAACATGAATGAATTAGACACACATTATATAGTACAACATGAATGAATCAGGTTTACATTTAATACAATGCAACATGAATAAATTAGACACACATTATATAGTACAACATGGATGAATCAGGTTTACATTTAATACAATGCAACATGAATGAATTAGACACACATTATATAGTACAACATGGATGAATCAGGTTTACATTTAATACAATGCAACATGAATGAATTAGACACACATTATATAGTACAACATGGATGAATCAGGTTTACATTTAATACAATGCAACATGAAATGAAATCAGACACACATTATATAGCACAACATGAATGAATCAGGTTTACATTTAATACAATGCAACATGAATAAATTAGACACACATTTATATAGTACAACATGGATGAATCAGGTTTACATTTAATACGAATGCAACATG